GTGGAGGGGGATGGGCGGGGTGCGATGGCAAGAGAGTGGAACTGAGGAAAACGAGGCGTGGCCGCCTGTTCATTCCGGGAATTTCAATGCAGAAAACGGTCGCTGAACTGCTCTTGCAGGCTGTTCAACTTCAGAGAACGGGTTTGATTCCGGTTCAGATACATTTGCATACGTCGGAAAATTGCGTGTGGTCATGGGAGGGTTGGAGGCACGTACAATGCATCCGGTAATGCTCGGCCAAATTAAATGTCTGGAGCTTTAGATATAATCAAACTACGTATTCCCTCAGACAGTAAATGTTAATGGAATGGGAGGGCAATATATCAAACACTGGTGCGGTAGCGAAAATGGATGTGAGAACTGACAACTTCCCTATATCGTTTGAGTGGCCAAATCAAAATATCTCCACATTGAAGCACATGCTGAATAGAACACTAAAGTAATAATAGGGGAGTAAAACCGGTAAAAAGATGTGGACTTTCAATGCACAATTGGGAAAAATGGGAACTTTCAATGCACTATAAAAGGCACACACTTGGCAGGCTGGCAGATCAAATTTCAGTGCACTGGTTCAATTTCGCTCGAGGTAGGATTTCGCTAGGCGCAAAATTCACCAATTGCCAAATTATAATTCTGAAAAGGTAATAACATGAGTCAGAACTGAGGAAAATTAAATTTCATTTAAACTTTTAGGAATATTTCTCTAATCAGATTCCATGCAATGAAAATTTATGGATCAGCGAGTTTCTTCTTATGTCAGAAATACGCATAGCGAAATAAGTCGAGAGCCGAAGGATAAGTCTTATGTAAATATATTTATTTCTATATATAATTCACTAGATGGCGCTGTAGAACAAAACCACATATTCATGTCAAATGCAACCCGCAACACACACCGCAGGCTGTTTTTTGCGTCTATACCGTTAAATAGCGCCTAAACGAAACTATCTAAAACATAAGAAACTAAACTTTTGAGGCCAGTGGCCTCAAAGAAACATTCCTCACATCCATCTTTTTGAACATTCTATTACATGTTTGCTGGGGGAGACGAAAAGAAAGGGAGATGAAGCAAGGAAAAACATTTGCTGGGTACCGCTAGTTTTATTATAAGGCCAACATGCTTCTTTGCCCCCGATTTTCTCTGTGCGGCCTTGATAGTAGCTAAGCAGTTCTATAGGACGGCCAAATTTCTATAGGCCGACTAATCGGAGAGTCGTTTCGGTGGATCAATGCGCAATTCCGTTGTTCCAGCTATCAATTTGAAGCGGAATCAGCAACATTAACCCATGGCCTCGCACCTCTTCTTGTCAAACTTAACATCAAGGGTGATTTTCTAATCCTTGCAGATAACTGGGTCATGAATAAAATTGATGCTCAAGTGCTGGAGCAACTGTGGAATGAGACAAAAGAAAAAGAACAAAAGGAAAGAAACAAGATAACTGCCGCTAACGCACATTGACCACCCGAATTTCGACATGGATAGATCGGCATAGGTTGCTCTAAGACCACACAGCACTGCGGCGCGCCTCAGGGTAAAGACTTCGAGTATCGTCACCGGATGATTTTCGGCAGTAGCTACATAGCTGGGTAGAATATGGGCGCTGACTGAATGAGAATTCTAGTGGCGAGGTGTCTCTGATCGGAAGTTTCCCATGTTTATTTGCAATTACAACTACGTGAATCTAGGAACATCACAAGTTGGAACACGGATTGGATGTTTTCTTTTGTTCTTCCTTGTATGATCCTCACCCTTAACACCTACATGCCCTAAAGTACTTCACATATCTGGTTACCAGTCTGGAGCATAGAACGTATCCCGACTGGGATGGTGCCCCATTCGGAGAGATACCTGGAGATAGAAACCTGCCAAGCCGACACATAGGTTGGCGAGAAACTCAGGTTCCAGCCGAGGAACAGCGCTACCCTCCGGCAATACCTTGCCCAACACACGAAACGAAATACGCATGGATCAACTGTTTTTGATCCCCGGTACCCAGAAGTTGACACCTAGCTGCGGGTCGTCCCAGGGAGAGATACACATGGAAGGCAGGTCAGGGGCGGTGCCGTGCGAGGGAGACGGGGCGTGGCGGCGAAGGCCGACAAGCGGAACACCGCGAGGGCACGGGCCCGCACCGCAACTTCTCCCAGCGCCCGAACTTCGCCTCCTGCTCCCGCAGCCCCGCTTCTCGGGCCCTGAAGCGCGGGGGTTCAGAGCCGGCAAAGGGGCCCGGAAAGAGGGGCCGTACAGGGGAACTGCGGGGAACGAAAACGGGGACCGTAAAGGGGGACGGAAAGAGTGAGCGGAAAGGAGCAGGGAACGTGGGGAGGGAACGGGGAGGGACGGTGAGACAGAACAATGCAATGGCGAAAGGAGGGTGTGGAAAGGGTGACAGAAACGAAACGAGGGGCGATGCCATCTTTTTAATGCTCTTTCAAAACCTGTGATCACGATGTACTATTCAGTTTCTGTGGGCTGCACAAATATATTTGATGAAAGAAATTACTTTTATTTTAATGACCACCATTTATTTGTTTATTTATGTATATTACGTCAAAAACAGTAATTGGGTGACGTCATACGGAGAGAAGTGATTTCTGTGCACGTTTTCTCAATTCTGGGACCCTTACTCTAAACCATACACAAGTTGAATCCTGAATGCAGTAAGAAATGAGTGTTTTTGGCAAGAATTGTTAACAAAATATTCGCTTTAAATATTAACTATAGATTTGGGGTCTTATCGTTCATCATGTCCTTTGTGAAGGAATATACTTCGGTCGCAACAACATAATATTTGTACTTTTCCCACTGAACCATACAAGACGTGCACAGATAATAAAGATACATTTATGTCCAGAAGCAAACTTTCTCAGCATTTGCTCAATGGATCAGTAAAACTAGACGAAAAATCTGATCAAGATAGGTATCGTTGAAAAGGTGAGATACGATACTTGTTGAAGGTTGTTTAGAATAATACAGTCTAAATGGAAAATAATACATTAAATATCTTACTTAAAATTAATATTGATCTCATTTTTGATGCTAGGTAGAGTCTCTAATTGCTTACAAACAGTTACGCAGCAGAAACGATTTCACATGGGACTTAAACTTTTGTTTTGATCGTTTAATGCAATTTGGAAAAGTGGTGTAAAATTATGTACGCGAGATGTATTATATATGAAAGTACATGAGAACGTGAAATTTGTATAGTGAGCTGTTCATACTCTCATCTGATAAATATGATTGCTATGTCAAGCGTTATAGTTATAGAAATCTGTGTTTGCTGAAAATGTATTTCCGCCCTTGAGTAAGACATTTTTTGTTAAAAGACTTGATTCGTAAAACAAGAGACAGGGTAATTCCCAGAGGAATAAAGAGAGGGTTACAAGAATCACGTGGGTAGGATTTGCTTATTATTCGTACAATTATATTTTGTAATCTAAAAGTCTGGGAATGTTAAGATTTATTTCTCCAGAATGTAAGGTCATATTTCAAGCAGGAATGAAGATTAGCGAAATATACACAACAAGCAGTATGAAGGCTGACTGAATTTGAAAGAATTCTGTACGCGTAGCATGCAGAATACCACTATAAGACAGGTTGAAAATGATTATAATGAAAATAATAATAAATTATGCCAATATACAATTCCCATTCGTGGCATTGACAAATAAATGACTGTCCAGACGCAAAGGAATGCTTCAACATGCGGCGTCCGAATCTCCGACAAAACTGACAAAAATCCACGATCGAGATGAATGTCGTATGTTGATAAGGGCGCTGCACGTTTCAAAATATTATTTTCTGATGCAGTATTTATTTTCCATCACAAACCTTTCCACAAAAACAATATGCGCCACACACACAGTCCGTCTCTGTCCAGACGGCGCACGCACAATCCTCCGCGGACAAGCGCGTTCCGCGAGTCCATTTTTAATGGCGACCGCAGGGCGCGTGGTGACGGGTGGGGGCGGACATCTCGCCGGAAGCGAGCGGCGCGAAGACAGCAAGGAGTTTGAGCGAAAACGCCAGCGAATCTGTCGATTCGGAGGAGGCGAGTGTGGGTCGAGTGTGNNGGGGGCGCGGAGGGGTGACGTGGAGATTGACGCGTGGGGGACGAGGGGATGTCAGGACACGAGCGAGGTCCTGGCGCTCCCGCAGTCCTCCTCTCCCGGGGAGCCTTCAATTGATTCGGTCCCGAGGCGACGCTGTCGTCATACGTGACGGATCCGGGGGTGGAGCAGCGGTGGGGTGGGACGGAGGCGGGGGACGCTGACTCTTCCGCCGGGGGCGGTTAAATTCTTTCTGTCCATCGTTTTCTTGACTGACAAGACAGAGATTGGAGGAAGGATGGTATGTTTACATGGCAACATAGCAAGTGAGGGCTTGAATAATAATATTGGTATATATTACGATATTAACTTACATTGTCCATCCAAGTGCTAGATATTTTGAATTAAATTAAATTCATACAGTAGTGAATTTCTTAGATGGCAATTTACCCAATATAATAACAATTATATCTCTACATACAGAACATTCAGTCATATAGAGTCAAAAGAACATTGCATTCTGCAATAATAACGTCTGGATTTCCTATGCCCAATTTAGTTATTTCTTATTTGGTTTTCTGGTTTTATAAAATATTATCTCTGATTAGATCTCCAAAATACTTTTGTTTGTATTGTTCTATAACAACATCGCAAACCTAAAATTAAAAATAAAAATAAATAAGTCAATATATTTTCAATTATTCCTTGTTCGTAGTCGTATGACTAAATAGTCATTGACTACATATTTCTTTGGTTTATTTTAAAACGATCCAATTTGGCATCAATCTATCAAAAAAGTAGTCAAGATTATATTTTATCTCAAATATATTCAGAACTTATTATCGTCTGCTGATTATCAGAATAATTTGTATTACCTGCTCCATTTTCTTTTGCTTTAGTTTCCGATAGTTTTTACTTTTCCACTACACACGCGCAGTCTAATTTGATATGCACTAAAATGCTTCCAGTGCATTTCAAAATCATGGCCAAGTCATCGCTTGTCGCATGATAAAAATAACATTAAAAACGTATATCGACTTTTCTCTTTGTGTATTGGATAATCTAGTCGGATAAACAAGTTGAATAATTGTACATTATATGAGAATGTCTGAGAATAAATGTTATAAAATTTTAGTGTGTGTAGAGGGTTGGAAAATGAATATATTTTCCTAATAATAATACGATACAAAATTTCATATAGCAGATGTACATATGTGTCATTCACCTCTGATTGGTAGACCACTCATATTGCACTGATGTTTGGTTTGTAGACCGCGATTTGACATTCGTAACGAGATTTCGTTTCCCTACAGCGCAGCGGTACACGGTCAGTTGACGACATATGAGAGGCAGAGTAACTTCGTGAAATGAAGTTTACCATCTGGCACTGGCAAGGAAAGTGTTCACTCGCAAGAAGGGTTCACTGGCAAGAAGGGTTTGTCTCGATCGCTCCATGTGCCCCTCTAAAGTTTATAATAATATGATTATAATTTGACAATGTTTTGTAAGATTTTGCAATCAATTAAATATAGTTACGAAAAGGAATTGTTTTAAAAATATTGAATTTTTTTTACAAAAGTTTCCATATTACTAAAATTAGATAAGCGCTTCAAAATTAATTAGTACTCATACGTTCTACAAGTACACATAAATATGGTGCTGGTATACGTACTAATATTTTTAAGCGGTTTAATTTTTTTAAAATTCTTAATATGAAGTGAAATGATCTATCTACTCAAAATTCATAAGCATTTTAACGGATTTCATCTTGAAGCGATACTGTCTTATATTTTGATGATTCGCGTGTGGAAATCATCCATCCAGTTATTTTCAAATTCTAATTTACTGTACTTACTTGAATAATTAAAATCCAGGTACAGTCAAAAAAGGCAAGCATTTTTCACTTCTGATTGTAAAATTATACTGTTCTTGAACGTGTGGATTATTTTGTGTTTCTGGGAGTGTCAATTACTATGGTTATTGGTCCCGTCAGATTGGATACTTTATCAGAGGTGTTACCTATGTTCTTGTCCTGCTTGATGGTAGGGTGAAAATACATAATTGTCTCGTTATCATTAAAACAATGAGAATAGAAAAAAATCATAAATTTATAAATATATCTAAACAATCCATCTTGACACTGTTGGCTTAAGAATCGAAATACTATTGCAAGTAATGCTATAGGAATTTCAGGCTAACGAATTGCCATCTATTTTCTTTTAATAACAGTTTTCACCAAAAAATCAACGAATGAATTGCTAATAAATCAGAAATAACGGCGGACTAATATACAAAGGATGCCGAGTAAATTCTCGTTTGCAGAATTCATAAATGTTAACCAGTATTTTCCAATATGGAGCTTTACGGTTTCAGTTCTTCCCTTCTATACTTATTCACAACCACACATAAATCTAATCTCATTTTTTTGATGGATGTTGTAAATTGCACATAAAGAATGTATGATGAAAACCAGCGAACCGCCGTCTTCCACTTCCATTATCGAGGACTCATCCTCGTCACAATGCCGTCGTATGTGACAACAGCACGAATGGGGTCTGGCAAAGAAGTATGGTGATGGTTCTTGAGAGAATGTTTTTTGCCATTAGTTATTGTTGTTTTTTTCAGTTCAAGTCTCAAAATTGGTCTTTTTGAGGTCGGTAAAAATATGTTCATGACTCGACAAGATAAATAGCGACGACAACGGAAAAGAAATGAACATCATGCCGGATCGAAGGTAACCGCGACAAATGGCATAAAAATGTCGAAAGAATGGCAAGAGCTAGATTGCCAAAACTAGCATTGAGCTAGAAACTGAAGCTAGCATTTAGAAGAAGCAGGAGAAGACGAAAAAGAGAAAGAAGAAGCAGAAGAAGAAGACGAAAAAGAAAAAGAAGAAGAAAAATATAAGAACAATAAGATATGTTTATTTTTTCAGGGTGAGAGACATCCCAATGCATTTACGCATTATAAACGTGAATATATAGAAAACATATACCCTCTCCCAGGCCGTTCCACCTCATGGGCAAGCGCTCTGCGGCCGGGGGATATTAAGCTTCTGATTACGTCTTCCTGAATGAAGTTTTCCCCATGCAGAATTTGTCGCGGTAGTAAGAGTCTTATTACGATGAAGTCTTACCCAAGTTCATAACAATGCAAGTAAGATTTTGACTATGTTCGCGGTCAACATATTATTGCAAACAGCTTTTCTTTATAAAACAAACAAACAAACATATATGCATTCATGACCGCATTGGAGTGCATTCTACGCAACGCAACAACCTAATAACCAACTGGCACCAGATATACTAGCTTCTCCTATTGAGAAAAACATGTTAAATCTCACATTAATAAAACGTTTTAAAATTAAAATATAGAATTCTCTTAAACTAGAAAGTTTTTTTTAACTCCGGTGTGCCCCAACCTAACCGTTCCCTGCTTCTGCAACATCCATTACGCCACACTCAGCGACGTTTATCTGGTCAATTCCCCGGTTTCAACTCCGCCAGGCGTCGACAAGGGGCGGTGACAGCATCGCACGTGGGCGCCGGGGAGCTGTTGGGTTGGCTCCATCCTATGGTTACCAAGGATCTATCCCGTAACTCTATCACATGGGATCTCAAGTGGTCCAGGCATAACACACACTCTTTCAATGTTCCACTGCGGAACGGCGCACCCAACTCTGTGACGTACATTCATTCACTGTTACTCGTCTTCAGCACATGTCTCGTTTAACGAACTAAGTGCAAACGTTGAAGTAACCTCTTCTTGCTTCCAAGATTTTCCACCCCATTAAAAGCGACCTATCCCAGCCCGATTTAAATTCGCCAACTAGCGATTTGAAAGCAAAAGTGATAGAAGCAAGTGTGTTAACACCCATACTATTGAGGCTGGCTCGTTCAATACGTATTTTTGTGATAGTTTACCTTTATGTAGCCTACAAACAGAACCACCTACCATTTCGGAGTATCGAAGTGCCCTTAGATCAGAAAAAAGTCATTTTGACAGAAGATATATTAAACCTTTTGCGTTCCATGGTTGTTTTGTGATAATTACGGAGTCCGAAGGTCGGAAACTCAGCCAAATTGGACATTCACAGCGAAGCATCAACTGCCCCCTAAAAGAATTAGCGCAGAAGAGCCGATTTTGTTCTCTCCGTGTAGTCGATTCTTCTACGTGAGATACAAGAAGAAAGTAAGAGCGTGTCCCATTTATGGAACAAAACTTGCTCTAAAATAAAATACAACTAAAATAAGGCAATTAATACCACATATTGCAGTGGTATTTAAAAGTACACTTCTAACTCATACAGACACGTGACAACTTCAGTCGTAGATCTCGTTCGCAATCATCATCTTCATGATTTTCCTCATTATCATAATAATTCTCATCACAAAAGTATCCGGCGAGTCATGCTGTATTGCTGTGGACTCACTGTGCCAGACGTGCTTACACGCAATGAATCCCGCAACGCAAGGGTGCCACCGCGCGCTGCAGCAGCGCCAAGCTGCTCGGGGCCTCTCAGAGAAGTCGCAGTCTCAGCGCGTTTTCCTCCGGCCCGTCCTCGTCCCCGTCCCCAATCCCTCGCCCCCTTGTCCTCAGCGGCTAGTGTCCGGCGCTTATCTGCGGCGGCAGGAGGAGGGTGGAACCCCTGCAGGCCACGGGCCCGAGGGTGCGTCACAGGGGAGGGGAGGGGAGCTGTGACAAGTCATGGAAGGGGAACGAAGGGAAGAATCGAAAGAGACAAAACGCTTTTGCTACCGCAGCCTCCTACGTCTGCGATGGAGCTTGAGGTCTCCCAAGGGACTGGCAAAGAGGGGTCGTGAAATGATTGATTGATACTCGAGGATATTTATTTCCGCAACCCGTCGGGAGGTGTGGGTTAGTTTGATTAGGGTAGGTTATGATACATTAGATTACATGAGTTTTTCAATACTGCAACCACTTAACAGATTTCTGAGTTCCACACGTTTCACCATCTTCCCCATATATTGTCAAGTGATCACCTGTGTCTCCGCACAAACTCCTTACACCGACTAAAAAGTGGTACCGTGAGATAAATCTTGGTGCAACTCCCAGGGACCATTCCATTTCATCCTGGGACCTAATTCAACGTGGTATACGTTCATGCGCCATCTTACGTCATATCCAGGTATCCCGTACGCCAATATCAAAACTTTTACAACCTACGTAACGGGAAGGGAATGTTATGAATGTACTGGTAACTAAAATGCGAAAATGGCACTCTGAATGGGTTGACATTCGACAAAAACATGGCTTTTGACCACCCCGCGTTGTTTTGCAGAAATCGAATCTACGCTTTTCTGGCTGGTTAGTTCATTAATTACTATACCTCATGGGACGGCACGTTAGCGTTGTTACAATACTCAAAGGATAATTTGTAACCCCGAAGGTCAAACTGTATTTCGTGGAAAGTGCACCTTGAAGACGTAAGAGAGCGCCCATCCCCCAATACTTCAGAACGTAATATTCTGGCACTAAATTGACTGTTTTAATTTCTGCATATCACCAGCACCCGTTTCGAGGACGAACATAACATCATGTGTCAACGTAAGCGAATACTGAATATTGTTAGAATAAGCCGCTTACAGGACCCTCGCATTGCCTTCCCCGTCTGTAGGACTATCAATATCCGGCTTAGTTGTCTGAAGGTGTCAATTGATGTCACTGTAGAGCCTCTGACAGAGAGATCCTAGGGTGCGAGACGGTGGCAGAATTGTAGCCACTACCTAATAAACTAGATCGAATTCACCTGCTGTCTGGAGGAGAATTCTAGCAACCGGCTTCGCTGATCAGTGGTTTTTCGTCATCCTCACCCGTTGCAGACGTAAATTTACACGTACAAAACTATCACACTTGTTCGGAGACCATACGGGAACTTTGAGCATGTCCCGGCTGGGGTGGTGCAGCACTGGTGGGAGATAACTGCTTCGAAAATGACCCCGTGAGCAGATGGGTTGGTCTGCGCTGGATTTTACCAAGACCACAGCCATCTCTGCCAATAAAACATGCTCTACATGAATAGGAATAATATTAGAAGTTGACGCGCTCGGAATTGTCAATCAATCAATCAACTGTGCAACAAATTCATTCGGAAGAGAGAAGGGAGTTGGAGTTCGATAGGGACAGTTCCTTGCTTGTAGGGTTTCGTAGGACAGCGATTATGCGAACACGACTGTACTTGGGTTGGCTAGCGGGAACCCGCTTAACTGATTTCATAAATTTAGCATCTTGTTTGCTTGAAATATATAAGTATCTTTATAATTTTGTGAGCGCAATGAAATTTATCAACGCAAAGTTCTCGGAGGAGAGGAGGGTTTACATGCCGTTGCTAGTAAATCGGTGCGACACTACATTTTATGGTTTTCCAGCATAAAAGAAATGTTGTAAGGGGATAAAAAGAATGTGTTTGATTCCTCACACATGCGAACGCATTCTAATTTGCTGCCCACCGGCCGCTACTGTTGGGATTCCATCAGTTGGCGTATTTTCAACCCTGTTTTAAGTAGTTCAGTCGAACTAACTTGATTCCTGGAAGTCCTGGAAGCTGGTTACTCCGAAGACCTCTCCTTGGCTTTCCTTTGAACAATTACGGGATGCAGGAGCGTCCCATTTTATATGGCCGATTCTCCCTCACCCAGAAAACCTACTTTATACTCCTCCACCCGATGAAATGACATCACTGCCTTTCTAAATACCGTCCAAAAGTGTCCTTTAATTACTAAATTATTAAAAAATAATTGAATTAAAAATAATTATAAAACATTGAAGCCAATAAATACATTAAGTCGACCGATAAACAAAAAGTTATGTTTTTAAAATAGATATTCTTCGATTAATTTTTCCCCTTTCGCAAATGTAGATTTCCTTTATTTACACTACATCAGAAAGAAAACCAATCTAAATTGCATATGCACCCAAATTTTTAAAATACCAATAAATAACAGAGAGGCCCAATTACGCACATTTACACATTCATAATACATTCCAAGTTAATGAATTTTCTATACCCCAGTTACTACATGTTGTTTCTAAGCTGTTGCAGCCGGTCCTCTGTTAGAGTGCTGCAGAAGGCGTGTGTATTTTTACCCCCTGATTGTAAATTGGATGGCTTTCGCATATCATTACTTACATCCAGTGAACATTATTCCATCTAGACTCTTTAGCGTATACTAATCTACCACATTGATAGACAAAGAGCACCGAGGTGAGCGAGTGGTTGTCTTATTAGCCTCACCTCACGGCAGGCGAATTGGATCCCGTCTGAGGTGCGTGAATTTTCGAAGAGCTGAAAACCGACAGTGCAATGTCGTAATTGTGGCATTTAACAGCAAGTACAGAACCCCTGCAATATTAAATTCTCTCACAATTAGCGAGCTAAACTCAATACCATTTTTACTTACACAGACAACACTTCACGTGATACATAATTTTATACGAGGTCACTGTTATAGCGTTCCTTATGGAGTCGAAATTGAGAAGCAACCCGAGAAAATGATAGGCAAGGGTAAGTGCGAACTATCAACTTCCAAGGAAAGAGGAAGAATGGCATAAGCTTTCACCGTCCTTTGCGCTCGGTAATTGAGTTTGACTCATCAGCATCACCATCATTAGTCATTGCTTCTAATGACAGGGCCAATTGTCACATATAGGTGCCGAGAAGCAGAAGATAGCAAAAATGTTATGTCAATAAATTGTTTTTTCTTGACAGAAGTTACACTTTGAATTATTTTTGAAGAATGAGTAGAAATCGATATTTTGAACATTCTGTTTCAAAACATCATAGTAAAAAAAGGGCTGTTGTAACAAGGTATGCGTTTGACTGACTTAAGCAGTAATAGAAACAAAGCAAGACGGGCTTGTCGCACTTCAACTGATATGCAGATAAACACTGATTCTAACATGCGGAACTGGTTTGAGGAATGCATCCGCGGTTTTGTTTGAATCTTGCCTCAGGCATGGATATTAGCTGTGTGGGTGGCATGCTGGGGCGTTTTCAACCCGTCAACGAAGTCTTCCTTTCCTAGTCGACCTGGGTGGAATTTGTACCTAAATATAGGTTACATCAGAGCTCTGCGTTCATATCTACATGAGCATCGTGGACATCGAATGGTGTGGTGTGCTTTCTTAGCACCCCATGTATCACCATTGAATTTAAAATTCTATTCTTAATCCCTTCCCCTGTATGATGACTGGTCAACGATAAGACCATGTGTTCGGATACGAGCTGAATGTTTGCTGCGTCATTGTGATCTAGGTCTAGCTATGCTGCCATCCTGTAGCATTCAACTAAGTAATGGGGGTTCACGATGTGTCGAAAGATATGTCACGATACGACCGCACAGGAGCAACATCGTTGACCATCGTGAACACGAGCAGCATTTATTATTGTTGAAATTGTAGGAGGTTTAATCACGCGCGGTTCGGGCCCGTTCCTTTACGTAGCTTCCCTGGCCTCTACCCGAAATTGATTGGAGGATATTAACGACCGTTCACAGCAGTCGCAGCAGCCACTTCTTGCCCAGACAGTGGTCAGGTTCCTCTCTTCAGCTGGCGTTGAAACCCGCCACCATCGGGACTCTTTCAATGTGCGAAGCTTCAGTTGAGAATTACACTGACACTCATTTTACGAGTGGTTACCTGGAGATATTGATGACTGGGCAATTGGAATTAACTTATAAATATTACCAAATAAAATATATGATTTTTACACATCTTCGCCGAAAGATGGTCTTTTTGTAAACATATGAAACATACACGAGAAGAAATTCTTTGATCTCAAGAACGTTTCTCTGGACTAATATTGATGTTGTTAATTTCAAATTGTGCTTTAAAAAATTATTGAGACAATTGATTACGAATTATGTTATATGTGCATTATTATTTAACTATTATGCCAATCTAACTGTATAAACACTTCAAAATTTGCAATAATGTCAAAGCGGTGAGAATAAATACTGGAACGGTAGGTTATTTAAAAACATTTCAGAGTCCGAAAATCTCTTAACAAACGGTAGACCCCCTACTGAGAATCCGCATGTACATACGCTGATACACACGGTCGCTGTATATGTTTTTACATCCCATTCTTCTTTTGCGATCGGACGGGGGGACTTCTTTATGTATTCCAGACAGCCGGTGGAGCATCGTTCACCAGTATTCTGCATCGTGCGAAGAAAATGCGAAGGCCATTGCTCCGCAGCAGAAAATACATCAACGGCGAACTCGTGCATCTGCTCAGCACGTGCCCAGAGTAGTTTTTGCAAGCGTCCGGTAGTAAAGTCTGGTGACGGAATGTCTTTTGTGGAAATGTAAATAGCGCTCTTACGATTGTATTTCCTCATCATAAAATGTACTTCACACAAAGACAGCGGCTCTGTAAATATGGTCCTCTTGGTCTCGAAGGGCATGCTCGTACATCGTCCTGCACAAATATATTTCGTTTGGAAAATGCAAATTTGGCATATATCGTTTTTATTGTAAGGTCACAGAGACCAAATATAATTTGACTATTTAAAAGTATTAAAGATATCTTCCAAAAACCTGATTCTGATTACTTAAAGGTAAAATTAATCATTAGGTCATTTACAATACTATTCTTTTTTTCGATTTCCAGTTTCGGAATATCATAAAAAACAATTCCTGTGGCATTGCATTATACATATTTAGAAAGACCATCCAATCTGAAGAGAAAGATAAAAACGCACTACACCACTATTTTTGTTCCGTGTTAGATTTTAGCATTCTTGGTTTCTTACATTCCCAATAATCACTCCAGCAAAAGGCCTCCAAGGAGCAATTGCATTCTTCTTCAGGTGCGAGATACATGTTCAAAAAAAATTAAGAATATATCTTTCAGAGAAAACTAAATATAAATGTTTAATGACGTCTACTAACATTACTATTATTTTGACATAGACAATTTCGATGTGTAACAGAGCTAGAGCAGTACACTACAGCTCGTGGTCACTACTGTAATAACACACGCTGTAATAATAGCAGGCCCAAGCACTCCCTCTTCAGCTTTAAAATGTTTTTGATGTTTACCTACCTACCTACCTACCTACCCAACTAACTAACGAAATAAATAAATAAATAAATAAATAAATAAATAAATAAATAAATAAATTAAATAAATAAATAAAGATAATAAATAAATAAATAAATAAATAAATAAAAATAAATAAATAAATAAATAATAAATAAATAAAAATAAATTTAATAAATAAATAAATAAATAATAATAATAATATAATAATATTAAATGAACATAACATTTCACGCATGGATAACAAGCAAAAATTGATTACTAAATTCTAAGTAATAGAAGACTAAATCGATCAGCGTAGTAACGCCGCCGCCGCGCCGCTGCCAGCACGGTCAAAATCGGAGGGTAGACGGCGTAGCAAAGTGACGTTGGGCATATCCGAAAAGCGCGAGCGCAACACGGAGCTGTGCTTGCCTCAAAGCACGTTTTAGTAATAATTTACCAAGGTGTGGAGTTGATTGTAGCCATCAAGTGGGAGATAGTGATAAAAATTGATAATCAGGTGATTAGAGAATGACAGTGCGCACAGGACCGGGATCACGGGAAACATAATATTGGAGTTTTGAGTGGCGAAGACCACGCTTTCATTCGCCGCGGTGTGTGATACAACAGCGGGCGCACCTGCGAAATTGAGTGGGATTGAGAAGAACTGCTGAGATCGGAACTGCCACGACGCAATTGTGGGTGTGCATGTTGTAATGCTGATTTGCTTGTACTGCTGGGTGACCCTGGCGAGCTCGTGTGCCATTTGCATTGGGGTGCTAGAGAATCAACCGCCGAGGGAAAGCGATTCCCGAAGACTTCGGGGCGAACGAAGTTTGCCGACACCGCCGCCGTTGCACGGCGCCCGCTCGCCTCCAGCCACCGGTGACATCGAAAGCTCAAGGTAGCGTTACTCGTGCACGAATCTTACACGTGAATAAATGCCTTGGCGCACTGCGTATTGTAAAGAATTTTTGTGCATATGTTTCAATCATTAAACTTTAATTGCACAAAAGAATTTCTTCGATCATTCTCTAATGCACCTCAAACCCCCTGGAAGCCATTCAGAGAATGTACCCGTCCTTTATTATTATTTTATTTGTCGTGAAAGTACCGTTTCCCAGGTACGTTCCACTATATATATATATATATATATATATTATATTATATATATATATATAACGCAGCCTCCACCTATTGTACTATTCCTCATTATTCTCCCATGGAATTGTAGTAAATCCGTGAGCTTTGCTTCTCTGAATTCTAGTTTATCCTCTTGTAGCCCCCACAGGCAGTTCAAATTCCAATCCACCTGCTTCCTGCGGCGTTGACGCGCAGTCAATTAGCGTAATGAGGTGGCATCTAGAGGCAGAAGTGAAAGGAGAACATACGAGTTGTGGACAGAGTGGGTTGTACTTACGGGTAGACAGAATGAACCGCCAGCTTTTATGATCATATTTTCCATAGGTTCCAGAATTTAAATTTATGTGCTTCATGTGGTTCAGTCTTGCCACCTGTCACATTCAAATTCTTAGGTAGACTGATCCGACCACTAGTTTCCTTGATCACTTCCAGCATACTAAAATCCACCATCCGTATCTCGTTATAATTTCCATCCTTGAAACCGAGCGATGAACCAATCACCCGTTCTTCTATGGCCCATTTATTTAGCAAGTCTCCCACAATCACCTAAGATCCGAAACGCAACGACAATCCCGAAACTTTCAGTGCTACCAAAAGAATCTCTTGATGGACTAATACAAGATAAACAATATTATTGCTAAACTGGATAAATAATCGTTAGTATAACTCAGGGACCCATTCAAGAGCGCATACTATAGATACTTGTGTTCCACAGTAAATTGACGGCAAACTACATCGCTGCCTTCCGACCCCTAACCACCTCCAACACCGACACTACCGTAACGGTCACCTATTCAAGCAGTGAGAGGGGCGAGACTGCTGAACTACGGAGCTGGGGCAAAAGCCGATGCCCGCAAACTTGCAAAGGCCTCACTTCATAACGCTTATTAGGGCGGAATGTGCCTGGTTGCGACAGAGGCTCCCTTCAGTCTGACGTTCTCTACCTGCCATTATACAGCCATTTCGTCATTGACGGTGTTACTCGGAGTGTTTATTAAGCTTTTGCTCATCACCACAATAATCGAAATGCAATATAGGTTATTTCAGGTGTAAACAACAATAACACGTTCTTGCAATATTAAAAATAAATTATTTTGTCATCTCACACAGACTGATGTTTTAAGGCCGTCAACTCTCCCAGGGATCTTCCCCTTGATAAGCACAGCCACACCTTGGGCAAGATCTATGCTTCCCTCTGGTCTCCCGACAGGTGGATAGTGTAGTGCTCGTAAGTGTGTATGTAAGGGAAGGGGATAGAACAAGGAAGAGGAAGGAAAGACCGCACAAGTCCGTGGCTTCATTCTGAGGGTGTTTAGACATTATTTTCAACATATTCCTTGAAGAAACCGTGAAAAATTAGCGATAAGATCAGGAGACCTTTTTCCTCCAGTCGGCGACTGAAATCGTTCTAGCTTTACAGTTAATATCGATAATCTGCCATCGTCAAGAAACGCGAGGACTTCGGCTTCAATTTCCAATAAGCAAGCACACAATTGGGCTTGCTTTTTGGAAAATCACATTCTGTTATTTTGTTCCGCAACATTTTTGCGGTTGCTTTCCAATAAATTTTACTAATTGAATCAGCGCGAGGAGAAAAGGAACTAGTCAAAATTCAATTTTTTCTTATGTTGGATAGTTGTTCTTTAAGGCAAGACAAATTCTACTGTGAAGATAGTAATCTCATCATAACAGTGTTTAGGCTATGACTGGTGGCAGGAAATGACTTGTTACCTTTCTCCTCAGCCCGATTCAATTTATAATGCGCCCAAAAATTAAAGAAATTATGGAATTCTGGCCATGTGAGAAGTGACTACTAAGATTTTGTTTGATATCTAGAAACTCAGAAAAATCTAATACCATGAAACAGTTACGATTTTGGCTATAATATTTTATTTATTTCAGTGCTATAGTCGAGTATTTTATTTGTCTTTATGCAGTGTGAGTGCAACTTTTTGGAAAACCTTCTTTTATTCAGCAATATTTTTGCTGCTGAAGGCAAGTATTTAATTGTATTATTATTATTATTATGCAATTACGTAATGCTAAATAATAATACAATAAAAAAGTACAACTGATAGAACTACTCAGGTACTCATTAATTTTTTTTCACATGAAATGTGAATGTTACAAGAGTCATATCTTATATTGAATTTCTTCCAATATTTTGATTTAAAGAGGAATGAAATTAGGCATTTCGTTGCTTTGTGGATTCTTCAGTGCTTTCACAATTTTCTCCATTTTCCCAGACAATTCAGGATAACGAAAAACGTCAGAGTAAGTATGATAGTACGAATCGTTGGCGTCTTCCCACGGAAATAAATCTTTGATCATTCCATTTTTTAAATGATTTCAAATTTTGAGTGATTTTCAGTAGTTTTCTTGCAAAGTCGTTTCACCAGGGACAGAAACTTTATCTCACGAGTATGAATGCAAGTATCGTATATATACATTATCGTATATATACATTATCGTATATATAGTCATTTTGCCACGTCGAATTCATTCTGAGAAATAAGAAGACAAAAGTTTCAATTCAACATTCATCGTCACAGTGTGAAAAACAAATGTCTTTGCAGAACAACGTCGTTTGTTACACCAGCACCACAATACTCGAACGAAATACAATAATTGATATGGTATGTTAGTAGAACAATCTTACTTTTGTCGAGAATGAGGCATAGGAGCATTTAGAGTAGTACCCTACGTTTAAGAAGTCGTGTGGTGGCTGTGCCTTTCTCGCCGCAAACGCTCATACCAACCGCATTCTCTCTTTTCGTTCATCGACTCGGCTCTCGTCGGCTGTTGTGTATGCTCTTGCTACTATTGTTCATTCATTCCGGCAGTTGGTCTTGTACTCCGATATAAACACAGTGGCGTTTGAAGCTCACACACCTGACGGAGAGGGGGTCACTGTCATCAAATCGGGAGATTTAGTACAACTTAAATTTTGGAATTGAAACTCCGGATTGGATGAGAGCCCCTCTCCGTCCAGCTCTTGAACTTGAAGTGCACTACGTTTTAATCGGAGTATATAGCCTTGTCGCAGAGGTTTCGTCTGCTAACACAATCGCGTCATGCACTGCCGTCCTTGGCTCTCTTAGCACATTTCTTCTTGCGTCCCACTGTTCGTCTTATCCTTTGAATCCCTTATCCACCAATGCCCTTAACGCTATTTTGTTGTAACTGTTCTGCAATCCCATGCCCATCGTCCCCCGCTTCACCATGACAAATGGTTTGTTCAGATTAACCGCCAGCTTCTTGTAAGTTCTCACACATGTTCTCTTCCCCGCATTCCACCTGTTCTTCGCCCGACTACTTACCATCCCTCGCTCTCATAAAATACACGCCCATTCGACCTCTCCCTGGCCTTCACGCCCGTTCACACTCCCGTTTACCCAATCATCTTCCACTCGACCACTCGCTCGTGCCCATGGCGATGTCCGCGCCCGGCTTCACGACCTTCCAGGTACTCATGACCGTCCCCGCGCCCGTCCCCGCGCCGTCCCGCGCCCGTCCCCCGCGCCCACCCCACCCTCCCCGACACGTCCCCGACACGTCCCCGACCACGTCCCCGACCACGTCCCCACGCCCGTCCACGCGCCCGTCTCCGGGCCCCTCTCAGACGTGTTTTAACACCATATCTCACGCCAACTCCTACACTCCCATTTCTCGTTTTCCCCGCACATTCCCACTCCTCTCTCCGTCTCCGCTCCACGCCGTCCCCATTTATTTCGCTCCATTCTAACCGTCTTTACACCTTCTTCTAAGCCTTGCACCAATCTTACCATTCCACTTGCCCCTCGGCCGCCTCTGACGTTCGTCTCCTCGCCCGTCCCTTCGTTCATCACTTCACTGTCCCGCGTTCACACTCCATCGCCACCGTCCGTCACCTCATCTCCCAACGCCACCCACGCCCACGCCGCCGCCTCTCTAGGTGGCGTCGCCGCATCACCCATCCATATTCGGCGCGCCGCGCATCACAGGAACGCAGAACTCATCAGTCAAAGAGATCGCATCTCGATTACGAGCCCATCGCAATGTATCACGCGTGTCGAAATTTCAACCCATAAAACACACGATTTGATTCTCGCGGACGCGATGCGCGGCGGCCATGGGGAAGGGCGGAGCACAGGTAACCGAGTTGCTGTTCCCAACGACACACCCACCCCTCCCCTGGCACCGCCGCCGCTATCCACCCACGCCGCCGACAAACCTATCCACGCAGCGGGCATATTCGCCCACGCGCTACGCCTATCTTCGGTTTATATCCCCTTCTCTTTCAGATAAAAATAAGCAGCAACGGCGAGTCGAATTTAACGTGTTTACTGTCACATAGAAATATTTGAGGTTAAAAGTCACTACATAACAAACTTTTTATAAATTTGTCTATTAACACAGCTACAATGAATGCAACAGATCTTACATGATGTGACCTGGTCACGTGTATTTTTATTATACATTTTTGGCCAACAATGCTACTTTTGTACGACGATCTTCTATTTAATTGTTGATTCTTAAATATTCCTTTCATTAGGTTAGCTGTGTGGTCTGCAACATGACTATAGATGTTTGTCTACGGTTTCTCACTTGTTCATAGTAAATAGAATATGTGTTATAATATATTTCTGTCATGGACGCATGCTTTAATTGTATATAATAAAGTCTAAGTACAGTTCAGATTCTTAGATTTGAACTTAAAGAATTCTGACACCGATCACTAATACTTTTGACTCGATTTTCTTGTGTCATACAATAGATTGATTGATTGTTTAGTGATTCTGGGCACGTCAACTACCAGGGTTATTAGTCCCGTAAGTGTAATGCATGTTTTTGCTCGAGAGGTGGCGGTGATCTTTCCCCCACTGTGTGGCGAGACCAGGTGCCGACCTAACGTCGGCTAGTGGGGTTTTACCCAACCGGGTACCTCCCACCAGCAAGACACCGGGCCAGTCGGGACAAGCTCGCAGCTCCCGACGGGTCTTCAGGCATATGTGGTACTATAATGCATGTTATTTTGACTATGAACTATTTGTCTGTGCTATTCATTGATGAGATCACTAAAGGAAGCGGTGATCGTGGAAGTGTGGAACAAAATTAATCAAGTTACTGCTTTAAAGAACACGCCCACCTTCACACACTCCGCCTCAGTCACCCAATCGCAATACACCTACGCAGCCGACGTACCAAAGAATTTGGTATATACCACCTACAGCGAACTCCATTTCTTTGCTACTACCCTTCCCTTTTACGGGCAAAAATAAACAGTTATGCCGGCCAACACAGCGATCAATGGTTCACATTAAATTATCCAATCCATAGAGATCAACATATTCCGTATGAATGTTTTCAGTGATTCTGAGTAGTTCGTAATGCCTGGACACCGTTTTCGTGAATCTCATTTATTCCATGGATGCTTTGTGTTATGGAGGTGGGCTTTAAATTGTTTCAATATTATTTTCTCTAGTAGTCTAGATAGCGTGGGAAGCAAACTAAATGGGCGGTAACTATTGGTTAGAGATGCATTCTTGTTTGATTTTCGTACTCGAAGAATGATTGCATGTTTCCATACTTGCGGAAAGTATAGTTCGAGCATGAGTTGAAGATATTGGTTAAATATGCAATGGATGTGTGTAGAAGGTTTTTTTTTAATATTAAACTGTTAATATTATTGTGTCCAGGGGTTCTCTTGTTAGGTAGTGATTTGATAATTTTTTTTTTTTAGGTGATGAGTATTGTATTTTATGATGTGGGATCTATGTCTGTTCGATTACTGTTTTGTCGATTGTTCGTTTTCACTGATGCCATTTCAAGATTCAAAAGGAAATTCATAATAGCACTTTGGAGAGACAGCGTCGCGAGTAAAACAAGTTTGTTGCCATCATACAGGATGGTCATGTGAATTAAGATTACACAGAAACTATTTTTCCTTGCCATTAATGTGCTAATACAAATTTTACAGATAAAAGAAAAATGTGAATCACTTTCATTTTTAATATTTTGAAATTATTCCTTTTAAATGTAATTTTTCATTGTTTACATGTCCGTTATCAACCCCTAATTCACCTAGAAATACTTTCTTGCACACCTATTTTGGGTAAAATTAATGTATGAACTTCCTGGCTCTAATGATAAGAAAATGAATTGATTGGCCTTTCACGACTCTCTCCTTGGTAATGCTTCTTATGAGCTCGTGCAGTGTCTTGCATTTTCAACCGGACGCAGCCGGGTAGAGACACTTGTAGCATCTGGTAAATTGTTGTCTTGAGCAACTAATTGGGTTGACGACTAGACGTGCGCAGAGAGCAGATGACCAACAGAAAGGTCGCGGAAAGGAAACGCGAAGGCGAACGCGAAAAGAAACCGAAAATGACCTTGTGCGGCCTATTTATTTTATTCATAAGTTATTTGAGCGCACTTGAGTACACCGCTGAGTGGTTGATGGTCTTAATGATAATGTGTTTGTTTGATTCATTGATGTTCCACCATAAATGGTCAACACCGTCGACGACTATTCTCATATGTTCCGTTAGTGCAGTTATGTTTTATGTCGGGAGATGGCGGAGGTTATGTTCCCTCGCTGGTGATATCCGGCGCCGACCTACATGCAGGTTTTCGGAAATTTCCCATTCTAGAGAGATGCACCGCTTCAGCCGGGGAGAGACGAGTCTCTTAGAGTATGCACACGCGTGAGCGTGAGTCCCAAGCCAATCTCCGAAGCTTCTACAGCACAATACAATCACATAAACAATAGCTCCGCTTAAAGCAATAGATGAAACACACGCACACCTTCAAATTAATTCAATGCTTATGATATATCTTTGTGACGCCATAGAAAGGATTTAGCAAAAACGGGTACTGAGTATTGACGTAAGAGAATATATCTACGGTACCCCCTTGTGATTGGGGCATTAATACATCAGACAATTTTATTCTCCAAATTATACAGCTTTCAAGTGAAACGTTCTGTACAACAAAAGATGCACTAGGAATACGGATTTCCAGTTATTTGGGAATTGCAATTTGGGTGGGTCAAGTTTACCTTTAAATAAGATTTACACCGCATTTATAACGGCAGTTTTTTCTGTCGGAAAACCCTTTAAGAACTACATATAACATTTTAATAAATGTAAAACGCGTGAGATGTGCGTATTTAATTAACTATAAATATTTTAGAAGTAATTTTGTAAAATATGTGAAACAAGATAAACCTAGTATATGTATGTTGGTGACTATTGCCTTAAAAGTTTGCGTTAGCTGGACTGAACTATGGTTTATGTTATACGGACAGAGACCATCACCTGGAGCCACGCCATTGACTAGGAAAGCGCTAGGGAAGCAGCTCTTACTGGCGATGATTTGCTAAGATATGTTAACTCAACCACCTTAACACGTTCAACGTTTTAAATCACATTCTATAGTACATTCCTCATGTGAACCGTTTGCCCCTTTCCTTGCGTCTTTTGTAAACAAACTCTCTTACCGTTGCTGTTATTTACATTCTTGCATTCCACTGATCAGACCTCTCCCTCACTTTGTTCTCGCATCCAATCCCTCACCAAATCAAGCATTCACGCATTGCAGCCGTCAAATTGGCCTGTTTTCACACTCAGTTCTATGTCCGTCGTTCATCCGTTCACTCGTCACCCTATTCGCACATGCACTGCCCGTGTTCTCTCGTTCACTCGCCTCTAGTCCATCCAGTCGCTTGACCCTCCCCCCCCCGCTGCTGATCTGCGTCCACGTTCAGCCTCGTTCCGCACTCAAATGCTGCCTGAATTAAAACCCATCACAACGTAGTTTTCCAAAACGCTACTGGGCTCAAAAAACCAAATAGATTACGTCTTGCAACAATCAAATCACAATTAAATATTCTTAACTAAACACACGTCTTCCATAAACACTGCTCCTTTACATAGTACGTAGTTCAAATTATTATCATTTATGTGTGTGTGTATATATATGTGAAAGAAGAACGTTTCCTGCATAGTAAAACAATATCATAAATAGTATTTGATTATTATTCTAATTAAAAAGATAGCACTAAATCGATCAGCGTAGTAACGCCGCCGCCGCCACCGCTGCACCAACGGTCAAATCGGGGGGTAGACGGCGAGGCTCCGAGTTGACGCTTGTTTATTGGGTCGAGTGTGCGCCGAATGACGGCCGCGCGATGCGCAACACGGACGGGCTGTGCCTGCCTCTAAGCAAGTTTATATTGTGATATTTTACCAACAGTGTCGATTGATGTTGTAGCCATTAAGTGGGAGATTTAGATG